GGAGCTGGAGTTACAGGCCGTCATGTGCCACCCTATATGGGTTCTGGTTACCAAACTCTGGTCTCTGCAAGAGCTGCCAGTTCTCAGAACTGCTGAGCCATTTCTTCAGCCCCAGTGCTTCTGTTAAGTCAAGAAGTTTCTGAGAATAGTAACTTGAGTATACTGCTGAGAATAGTTTTACTTTGGTTCTCAGGAAAATGTTCACAAAATCTGAACAACAAAAAAACAGGAAACAATTTCAGTTGTATGGTAACAAAAGTTGGTGACTGTCCTCTCAGAGAGCATTTATGTGTAAAACACATTTGATAATAATGTGAATTCTTTTAAGCTATTATATTCTGTAACCATCTGGGGAAATAGTTTGGAGGGTAAATCCAGCAGAAAGGATGTTAAAAGGAAAAACAACAGACATTGTTGATTTTTTTTGACAGTCTCTTACAGGATGATATCCAGGGTCCATATCACAGTGATAATACTGAAAAAAAAAAAAAAAAAACAACTTCTAATGACTTTATCATTGTTCCCAGCAGTGTCTAGGAGCTCCAATTCTGAGGGCAAGGCTGTCTGTAGGCATCCGATGTGAAGACAGAACTCAGATAGATTTTGTGAGAAATTGTTTCTTCACATGAAGTATATTTGATAATAACATTTTAATGTAATATTGACATTTCTGGTTTTTAACTCTGTTGGGCAGAATCTGGAGGGAAGAAAAATTACTTGTGGTGGCCTCGGCATGAGTTTCTAGAATCATGACAACTTAGTTCAGATGTATCCTAAATCAGACACATTCCAGTAGAAAAGATCTAAGGTTTCCTACATGGTCTACAGAAGCAGATTGGATTTCATGAGAAACAATGCTGACATTCTCTTGATTTTATTATTAGATTGACTATTATGAACAATTTTAGCAGTCAATTTTTGTGGGTTTCTAATTAGTTTGATAATTTCCGTAACTTTAGTATGTGTCTATATGCAAATATACATGCACACACACATGCATAGGCCTGTAATTTGTACTAAAATTCAGATTGATTTGACCTAACTCGGTTAAAGTATTGTAATACTGAACTAGACTTTCATACCAATGATCCCTGCTGGCGTTCATGACTGCACAGGATTACCTGTGTGCTTGCTCCTTGTGACCCACATGCTAATTGCATCCAGGTCACCTTGGGTCTAGTTGTACATGCAGGATCTCAGCTCGAAGCCCCAGACCTAGAGAATCAGTGTCTGCATTAACGACATCTCTGGGTAATTAAAGCCTTAACTACTCCAGGTGATCCTGGCTCAGGCCGCACATTAGAATCACTTAGGGTGCGTTTTAACACGGTTTTCTTTCCTGGACCTAATAAGAAGACCGATTAAATCAGACTAGAGTTGGAACCTTGGCATTGGCAGTTTTAAATGAATGCCAAGTGATTCTAATATGCACGCAGGTTTGAGGACTATTGATTTCACAATGTCAGAACAATCAGCAAATTCGCTATCTTCTAGAAGAGGATAATAATGGGAAAAGTCAAAGCCAGGCCTTAGTGTCTGGTGGCACTTCCCAAATGATTCAGTTTTTAACTTTTAATAAGTTTGCTTGGCTGCTGTGTGAACATGGATTGCTATGTCTCAACCTGCCCAAGACTAGGTGGTAAATCAAGACAAGGAGCCCATTAATATCCAAGTAACAAAAGGGGGTCTGGGCTTTGCTTTTTAACTTTATTTCATTTTCCAACCATGTTGTCCAGCCCGACAAATCTAAGTGCAAAGGTTGCAATTGCTGCAGCATTGAGTGCCCACCGCTTCCAAGCAGTTGTCATCTTATTCTCCCCTTCTCACATTAAGCCAAACAGATGCCGCTCTGAGTCCCATTGCTCCCTCTTCTTCCTGTCCCACAGTCTCACCTCGTGATCTTGTGTTGTTAACTGTACTGCTTAATGACACAATGTGACCCATTGTTTGTTATCTAAATTTAAAGTCAAGAATTAGCCATTCATTCCGGGAAGCCATGCATGAACAAGTGAAATAACTAAGTGAACCATAGCACAGTACACACAAACCCCCTTATTGCCATGTTTTATGAATGAAGAAGCCATCTCCAGGAAGCAAGTATGACTCGCTGATGAGTGTCAGTACTAGAATGTTTTCCCCAAGGATATGTGACTCTAAGAACATAGACTATTTAGTGTGTGTGTGTGTGTATGTACAGCAGAGTGAATAGTTACAGGTAAACTAAGAATATAAACATAGAAAAGCTTATGTAGAGAAAGTTCATTATCTACACAATACTCATTATATCTTGGGGGCATAGTCAATGGTTTTTAATTTTCATAAACTCTGTGTCTTTGATACAAAAATATTAAAGCTTTGTGGGTATGACATGGGGAGGTTATCAGGATAAATCTTATTTTAAAGTTACTTTTTCATATTCAAGCTGTATTTATGTGGCTTTATTTCTCATAATAAACTTGAGACTTAAGAGATGTGGTTAAACAATTTTGTCTAGGAGTTGTGGAGATGACTCAGCAGTTAAGAGCACTGGTTGCTCTAACAGAGGACTAGGGTTCTTTTTCCAGCACCCATATGGCTTCTAACAACCAACTATAACTTCATGTCTAGGGGATGTTATGCCCTTTTCTGGTAGCAGTGTAACACACAAATTTTCATGCAGACAATATACACATACACATAAAATAAAAATAAATATCTAAAAATTATCTAATACCCTACCCCTTCGACTGAAGGCCCATTTTGTCATAGAATATACCTGTTTATCCTCCCAAGAAGAAGTAATTTATGCCTTTTCACATACTTTAAGTCTCCTCTTAAATTATCTATACACTTATGAAATATTACCATATGAATCATGATAGTTGTAATTTATCATGTCAAGTGTAATATATTTGGGAATTGTGAGTTTTATTTGTATGTCCAAAATGAAAGGCCTGGGAATTAATGTCTAATTTACAGATTAACAGTTAAGAGTCAGAATTATATCTCAACTCTGCAGAATAATGCCCCAAAGATAAAAAACCAAAAACTTAAGCTCTATAAATATTAAATCCCTGCACAAAGAATAAGCAACAAACAGAGAATTCTGGTATAACACCATTGTATATGAAAAAAGACCAAGGGGCAAGTAATCACAGACTCAGAATGTAATAAAATTTCCTACATTTTGATACATCAGTAATTCTTAACTCTGAAATAAAATTTACTTTCAAAATATTAGAACTTTGTCCAGAATAGCTTATTTTTCAAAAGCTATACTGAACAGTGGAAATCTAGTGTCACTTTTATTTGAGAAATACAAAAATCAATGCCTGGTAAATGAAAACCCCTTTGTTACCTTTGATCAAATATTCCTTACCAAGGCTGAGATTTGGACATGGAGATGTGCAGTGATGTCATCATCATAGTGTGCTTTCCAGATTCCTCAGGGACACTCAAACTGTCTAGTAGGTGACTCACATTTTAGCACAGACTATTCACATGAAATATCTTTTCCAGAAGGCTTGAGCTTAAGGGCTATGAAAATCTGACTCTTCCCTGCAAATCTACACCTCTCCCAGGGACTGACTGTTACTGTGAAAGTTGCAGAAAGGTATTGCCCCCCTCCCAGTTATATAGCCAAGATTAACCTGGAATTTTAGGTTTCACTTGCTTTAAAATCTAGACCTCTGGGATTACAGGCACCTACTGTCACATTCAGCCCTGATTTTCACGTGTACAAACCTCCAAACAAGAACACAGGGAACTTCCCAGAGACTCATACTCCAACCAAGAACTATTCATGGAGATAACTTAGAACCCCTGCACAGATGTAGCCCATGGCAGTTCAGTGTCCAAGTGGGTTACCTAGTAATGGGAAGAGGGACTGCCTCTGACATAATCTGATTGGCCTGCTCTTTGATCACCTCCCCCTGAGGGGGGAGCAGCCTTACCAGGCCACAGAAGAGGACAATGCAGCCACTTTTGATGAGAACTGATAGACTAAGATCAGAAAGGAGAGGAGAACCTCCCCTATCAGTGGACTTGGGGAGGGGCATGCATGCAGAAAGGGGAGGGAGGGTGGGATCGGGAGGGGAGGAGGGAGGGGCTTATGGGGGGATATAAAATGAATAAAGTGTAATTAATAAAAAATAAAAAAAGTTTAAAAAAAAAGAAATTTTAGAATATTTTGTGGTGCATGGACAGCCTGAAATTGGTTCTCTTGTAATTTTTAATACGTAAGTAGTAGTTGCATAAGGTAAAACGGAATGTGAGTGCAGGGCAATGAAATGGGAAATCAATATTTTATTTGCGTATCCTGGTAGTATTTATTACTGATAATAAAACTTAGGTAATTGTGAACTTTTCTTGACTATTTTCCATTTTGTTCTAAAAGTGAATAAGCAACCTCTTCTACAAACACCGTGTTTCAGAAAACAGCCATTTGAACAAGAAGCTAAATTAGTGGGTCCAATGTATTGATGTTTTTCTGAGAACACTAAGACAGGGTTTCATTTGAGTCATCTATCTCTGCTCTGATGTCTACTGCAGCACAGGAGAAGGAGACTCAAGGTCTTAACTCCATTACTGGCTTTATTCAGTGCTGTCAGACCAAGAATAGGTGTTTATCTACTAGTGTGTGCTGCTCCAGAGAGAGTAGCTCATTGTAATTCTCTCCTCCAGTTTTCCTTCCCCAAGGAAATATCTTTATCCCAGATCTGTCTAATTAGCCAGTGTGTGAGGAGCAGAAAATTGTGAGACAATCACAATGCTTGTGGTTGCTGCTAAACAAACAAACAAACAAACAAACCACAAAAGCCCTCAATAGCCTTTCCATCTATGTTTTCTTTGTTCACATGGTGGAGCAAAAATGGATCAAACAAGCATAAATTTGTGGTAACAGAGATTTTGCTTTTGTGCAATGTAACACATACTGTGTATCAAAGAAATATTTGTACCACTTCTCTGAAGTTGACATTGCAATGACATTGTAATCCTGGCCATCTGTCTTCCTTCTCCAGACATCGACGAATGTGCGGTGGTGAATGGAGGCTGCCAGCAGCGCTGCATTAACACTCAGGGCACTTTCCGCTGTGAGTGTGATACAGGATACAGACGCCATGCTGACGAACGCACCTGCATAAGTGAGTAAATATTAGAGCCAGCTTGAAGCCATTTTCAATGAAAATCGACCTGCCCACACAAGGGGCAGGAGAGAAAGATTTTTCTCTTGTAAAAAAAAAAAAAATATCTATAGAAGCTGATGGCATTCGAGTTCAGTTCCACCTCCTAGAATATAAAAGGCATTTTGCTACTATAATATAGAAAAAAAAAATGGAGAATGAAATGCAGAAATTAATGTTTACAAGCCCAACATGATTCTCCAAATATGTGATTATTTCTGTGGTGTATAATTTTGGGCATATTTGATGAGCTATAAATTTGTTATTTATTACTTACACAGCAAGGATGACACCAAACTAAAATGATTGGGGAATGTTAAATTACTAACTGTTGGGATCTCAAGTGGAACTATAGTCAGAAATAAATTCAAGATTAAAACTCAATCATCAACAAAATTATAATGGATTATGTGCTGAAAAACTTGAAGTTACCCAAGTGTATTTAAGATTGCACATATTAAATATAGGATACAGAATATTTATTCTGCAACAAAATGTGCTTAAATATAATTTAGGACCAATAAAATGATCATTGATTCCTTTGTTTGCATGATTTTAAATTCATAGATTTCCTGAAATAAGTAAACACTACTTTTGTAAACAAAAAGAAAGAAATGGAGTTTTAAAATATTCTGCCTTGTGTGATTACTAGTGTTCCTTGTTTTCACTGAAATAATTGAGTAAATGTGTTTTTATTTTTTACTGAGCCCTGATCCCCACTTGACGTAATGATACTCGGCAGTTTTAACTCAGGTCCCTGTCTAAAAAAATTATTAACTCTATGTTATTAGTATTATAGCACCTGGTATAGAACAGTTTAATTACTTTCTTTGTTTATATATGTTTATTAACCATTTAATTATTACTTAATTGTTATTAGTAGCATACCAAGTCTTCTATACTGTAAATCATGGATTATAAATCACTATCATCAATTAGTGTGGGACTGTGCAAGCTTTTTGCTGTTCCTAGCATGTCTGAGAGGAGGCTCAGAAAAACAGGCAAAGATGCTCTATTCATTACTCTGATGTTGATAAGAGATAGCAGGTTGTGAAAGTATGAAAGAACAAAAGGAGAGGGACAAGGAGAGAAGAGATCTTTTTCAAAGTCAAATAAAGATAGAAGTCAGGCCCTGATAGCCAGGAACTCAGATCAGCAAGATATGGTAAATATACATGGCAGGACAGTGGCCCCCGCACGTTTATTTAATGAAAACAACCTCTCATTTTTGCAGGATCAATGGAATTTCCATTCCTAGGTCATGTACTACTAACATTCCCTTAAAATCCTGCCCAAAGTTCCAAGTCACAGCTGTTCAGGAGCAGCATGAAATTGATATATGCAAATGAGATATTTGTTGGGAAAGGACAAACTAAGCTGGTGAAATTTTTTATCTAATGTAAAATTATTTTTGAAGTAGTGGTTTATATGAATCAGTAATACCAGCTCTTTGTGAAAGGGCAAAATAAGCAGCAAACATAGCTAATGTTTAACTGGGAGTATAATTAGTTTCCTAAAATCTTAGTTGCTCCAACCAGCCACTTTCCTCCTTTTTGCCATCATGGTTGTTGTGTTATTGACATTTGGTCAAAGTTGAGCTTTTATTCCACTAGGACACCATGATTTACTGAATCCATTCCTACTCCGTAAAAGTCAAATTTCACTGCCTATACATGAGGACACTATGGCAGTAGCTTAACTTCTGCTACATAGTTTGAGCTTTCTATTCAGAGTTCCAACATTGTGTACAAATAAAATTTATTTCCTACAGCTAACAAGTGAACTAAACTCAGGTGTAAAGTAAGCTCTGTGACTTCACAGGTCAGGGTTCCAAACCCACGACTGGCCAACACAGCAGCCGCAGGGCAGAGCCCCACGCAGACTTTGCTGTGACGGAATCTTTGATGTCTTTGTTGAACATGTACAAAGAAATTTGGCTACAGAAAGACTGTTGTTCACATCAACCTTGAGAAAGGTTCTGGAAAACTTCCTTTGAAGATATATTTTAAACTCTTTTTGTTTTTTAGTATTTTTTTACACTTTATTCACTTCGTATCCCCCCATAAGCCCCTCACTACTCCCCTCCCAATCCCACTCTCCCTCCCCCTTCTTCTCGCATGCCCCTCCCAAGTCCACTGATAGGGGAGGTCCTCCTCTCCTTCCTTCTGATCTTATTCTATCAGATCTCATCAGGAGTGGCTGCATTGTCATCTTCTATGGCCTGGTAAGGCTGCTCCCCACTCAGGGGGAAGTGATTAACGAGCCGGCCAATCAGATTGTCAGAGGCAGTCCCTGTTCCCATTACTATGTAACCCATTTGGACAATAAACTGCCATGGGCTACATCTGTGCAGGGGTTCTAGATTATCTCCATGCATGTTCCTTGGTTGGAGTATGAGTCTCTGGGAAGACCCCTGTGTGGAGTTCCTGTCCTCTCCAGCTCTTACTATTTCCCACTTCTTTCATAAGATTCCATGCACTCTGCCCAACAGTTGACCATAAGTCACAGCTTCTGCTTTGATAGTCTGCAGAGCAGAGCCTTTCAGAGGCCCTCTGTGGCAGGTTCCCAACTTGTTTCCTGTTTTCTTCTTCTTCTGGTGTCCATCCTCTTTGCCTTTTGGGATGGGAATTGAGCATTTTAGTCAGGGTCCTCTCTCTTGATTAGTTTCTTCAGATGTACAGATTTTAGTAGGTTTATCCTATATTATATGTCTATATGAGTGAGTATATACTGTGTGTGTCTTTCTGCTTCTGGGACAGCTCATTCAGGATCCTTTCCAGGTCCCACCATTTACCTGCAAATTTCATGATTTCCTTATTTTTCATTGCTGAGTAATATTCCATTCTGTAGATGTACCACAATTTCTGCATCCATTCTTCAGTCGAGGGGCATCTGGGCTGTTTCCAGCTTCTGGCTATTACAAATAAAGCTGCTATAAACATGGTTGAGCAAATGTCCTTATTGTGTACTTGAGCCTCTTTTGGATATATGCCTAGGAGTGGTATGGCTAGATCTTGAGGAAGTGCTATTCCTAATTGTCTGAGAAAGTGCCAGATTGATTTCCAGAGTGGTTGTACAAGTTTACATTCCCACCAGCAGTGGAGGAGGGTTCCCTTTTCTCCACAACCTCTCCAGCATGTGTTGTCACTTGAGTTTTTTATCTTGGCCATTCTGATGGGTGTAAGGTGAAATCTTAGGGTCGTTTTGATTTGCATTTCCCTGATGGCTAATGAAGTTGAGCATTTCTTTAAGTGTTTCTCTGCCATTCAATATTCCTCTACAGAGAATTCTCTGTTTAGCTCTGTTCCCCATTTTTTAATTGGATTACTTGGTTTGCTGCTTTTCAGCTTCTTTAGTTCTTTATATATGCTGGATATTAGCCCTCTGTCAGATAAAGGGTTGGTGAAGATTCTTTCCCAGTCTGTAGGTAGTTGATTTGTTTTGATGACAGTGTCCTTTGCTTTACAGAAGCTTCTTAGTTTCATGAGGTCCCATTTATTGATTGTTGCTCTTAGAGCCTTGCTGTTGGTGTTCTGTTCAAGAAGTTTTCTCCTGTACCAATAAGTTCTAGGGTCTTACCCACTTTTTCTTCTAACCGACTTAATGTGTCTGGTTTTATGTTGAGGTCTTTGATCCACTTGGACTTTAGTTTTGTGCAGGGTGATAAATAAGGATCTATTTGCATTTTTATACATGTAGACATCCAGGTAGACTAGCACCATTTGTTGAAGATGCTATCTTTTTTCCATTGTATTGTTTTGGCATCTTTGTCAAAGATCAGGTGTCATAAGTTTGTAGGTTTATTTCTGGGTCTTCTGCTTGGTTCCATTGATCCACCATTCTGTTTCTATGCCAGTACCATGCGGTTTTTATTACTGTTGCTCTAAAGTACAGCTTAATATCAGGGATGGATATACCTCCACAAGATCTTTTATTGTAGAAGATTGTTTTAGCAATTTTGGGTTTCTTGTTATTCCATATGAAGTTGAGATTTTTTCTTTCCAGGTCTGTAAAGAATTCTGTTGGTAATTTGATGGGAATTGCATTGAATCTGTAGATTGTTTTTGGTAAGATGGCCATTTTTACTGTGTTTTTTGAAGACATCTTGTGTTTAAAGGTTGAGATGGAACCTTCAGGGCAACCGTTTGCTTATTTGTCCAGAAAGAACCCTGTAAAGGAAGGTCCCACAGAGGTCTGTGTTTGGGATTAGACTATAGTGGGGTAATTTTCCTTAATACAGAGCTGTTGAATTGGCTCATTTCCATATTTGGAACAAGTTCCTGTAACATAGCCAAAGTTGGCCTTGAACTCACAATCCCTATGCCTGAGACTCTTTGGGGCTTGGATTACTTACTGATAGATCCACCATTCCCAGCTTCTTCAGGGACATTTATCTGGCAGAAGATGACATGGCATCTGAAGTTGTGGTAGATATTTGTCATGAAACTCAAGGAGACACAGAAAGGACGACAGCAATAAACTATTGGGACTTGAAGACTTCAGTGTTTTTGAACTTCCTTCCTTAAATTTTTTTCTTTTTTTAATTTATTATAGTTTATTCACTTTGTATCCCCCCTGTAGCTCCCTCCTTCCTCCCCTTCCAATCCCACCCTCTCTCTCCATTCTCCATCCATGTCCCTCCCCAAGTCCACTGATAGGGGAGGTCTATCAGGAGTGGCCTCATTGTCTTCCTCTGTGGCCTGGGAAGGCTGTTTCCCCCTCAGGGGGAGGTGATCAAAGAGCAGGCCAATCAGTTCATGTCAGAGTCAGTCCTTGTTCCCATTACTATGAACCCACTTGGATACTGAACTGCTATGGGCTATATCTGTGCAGGGTTTCTAGGTTATCTCCATGAATGGACCTTGGTTGGAGTATCAGTCTCAAAAAAGACCCCTTTGCTCAGATTTTTTGATTCTGTTGCTCTCCTTATGGAGCTCCTGTCCTCTCCAGGTCTTACTATC